TAAAACCACACCAATCATCATTATTCGTGCACAAGAAGGTACAATTTACATAACATTCCACCGTTATCTTGTGGTTAAAATGCAATTTATTTGGTACGGTGGTTAACGATAAGTGGGTTAGCGCTGCTGTGGTTGGCAGAATACAATAAAGTAAACTAGGTTTAATGGGAATAAGAATAATAAAATAAATAAATAATAGAATAATATAATAATAAATCGTAAATGCTTCCGGATTTCGGAAATTCGTAATGTACAATAAAACAAGTACAACTCTGCATAATATACTCCCAAATCTGAATATATATAAAGGGTAATTCACCAGATGCTCACCCCCATTTTTTCCGTTAATAATGTAAATATTAAAATAAGTTACTATCTAATAAGTAATAAGTAAAGCAGAAAAGGTAATACATTTATCCAATATTAAATGATATAGAATTACCAGGGGCTTCGAGTTTCGATAATGACTTAAAAAATAATAGCCAAAATCGTAATTTACAAAGTTTATGAAACATCGCGATCGTTTAGTTGATCGCAAACTATACGATTCTCGTTTAGTATTGTATCATTTGTATGTTGCTCGTTAATATACGAGTAAAATAATTTTTTTTGATAAATTCAATAGAATTTGCCCAAGAAAGAAAAATAGTTAATAAATATTGATTTTTAATATTATATTGTTGAAATTATACCTACAGGTACTCTGGTACTGTAATTATATAGTAAATGCTACATATTCCTACATTTGTGTGATATTCATTTGTGATCGAACATCCGGGTAATTAAAATGTAAACAAATAATATTAATACAATATTATTGTATACTAGGTATGCAGATAAATATATGAGCCAATTACTGATTGTCCATCTACACAAGTCTAATGTCTAAATTAACAAACTGTTCAGTAAATGTAGAACCCGCTACCCTGTACCCAGGATAAACCTAGATTTTGCCACCCAAATGCTAAACCCTGTTTAGGTCAGGTTTAATCATTTTTTTTTATACAATGGAGCCGACAACCGAAAGGCTTTGGTTTGCAATTCACGCCAAAATAAATATGATTAGAAATTATTTGTACAGTTTAGGATCAATATTTTCGTGAAAAGTGACCATCTTATAAAATGAAAACGACTTTTTCACACTTGGTAAAATACCAAAAGATTTCACGAAATGATCGGTTTTTCATGAATTGATCACTCCAAGATGAAGATTGAACACATACAAGATTTTATACATAATATATTTAAGTTGTATTCATTTAAATATCCGTTAAGCTACAATTTACAAATAGTAACGAATAATAATATTTAATTATGAACTCATATTAAACCTACACACAAAAAATGTAAGCACATTTTGTCCAAACGAGGGAAATAATAAGTTTATACAATTATATAAGTACTAATAATAAGTATAAGTATAAGTATTATATATGCAGGTATATGCAGCTACAATAATTTGTTTTTATTTTTAATATTTTATTTAAGAATGCCAATGATTTAAATTAATTAAATTCAATATTATGACAACGGCTGTTCAATTTCATGCTAGGTAGTTTCACCCTTTGAAACAATCACATCGTTTAGTTTTACAAGCATTTTTTACTTGAACAACTAGGGAACCCCTAATCCCTAACCTCCTAATACAACTTGGACAGTTACACGCAAATAGTTAATAATTTATAATTCAATAATATCTATACAATTTCCTGCAGGGTATCTGAGATTTGTACCCATATTCTATTTGGGTTTGAATGTCGTATTTAAGTGTATAAAACAAATTAATGTATTCTTATAAAACTTTTTTTTCCTTTTTTAAATTATTTGCTCATGATTTAATATGACTTAAAAATATATTATATTAAATATTACTTATTACTAGATATGTATATAGTTATTAACTTAACGTATCTTTACATACAAACTACTTAATATATGTATACATATATGTAAAAAAAACTAATTAGCATTATATATTATGACAAATACATAATAGGTACAAATAAACAATAGTCGTGCATACGTTGAATAAATAATAATATAATGATTGTGGGTGGTAAATGTTTAATTTCAGAATTTGAATGACCCATTTTGAAAGAAAAATGTCAAATTGAGGAGACCATTTCATGAAAAGTAACCATTATTTTGTGAAATTTTTTCGATATTATTATTATATCGATAATACACGAAATGAGAAAGAGCCATATTTATTTAATTAAATGGATTTCTCATGAAAATATCAATTTCAAGTGGCTGCAACATGTATACATAATAACTAAATAAGACAGTTGTAGGTACAAGGTACTTCATACATAAAACAAATAAAATTAAATATATACAATCACTATGCATTGCGATATCGATGTTTTCTTTAGAAGTAACACAAATTGGAATTTCAGAAATTGTTCTTCTATATACGAAGTAAAAATGTAGACTTGTAGCCGTTTTATTTTCATTAAGGCTTTTAGGCTTTCTAATCGATAAATGAATAACAATTTCCATTATTTTTTGTAATTTGTATCTACTATACTGTCTATACTACTTTACTAGCAATAATTCAATAATGTTTTTATTAATATTATTATTATTATTATTACTATCACTATTAATATTATAATAGGTGTTGTATAATTTTTTATTTTTTTTTTTAAATCCATTCAATGACCGACAGTTTTATACTTTTATAGTTTGTTGTCTGTTATGTTCTCAAATCTCAATAAACTTGATTTCAATTAAAATAATCATCATTTAAGTATCAATTAACAGATATTATATAAAATACAATTTTTAATAAATTATTCTAGTAATAGGTGCTTCATAAACATAAAATACAGTTTATGATTATTTACTATAGCAATATTCTTGTTTGTCGATGCCTACTTGTTGAATAAGTTGTGTTAATATCGGATAGTTAAATTTTTGTCAATTTCCCAAAACTTTTCAGACTTTTATGTTTTCCAAAATGATTGAATTAAATGTTAGTATTCAATTCAAATTTTTAATAACAAGAACACTGTTACCATAGCATTATTTAGGTACCTACCTACCTAGTTACAGGGTCACAACCAAAGTATATAATTGCATCCTTATTAGTTGTAGGCATATACCTATGTCTTAAACAAAATTTTAAATGAAAAATATATTATAGACTACAGCATTCAGCGGGTATTAGACTTTTAAGTTCTTAATATAAAAATCTATTTTTCATTTTTCATTGCATTAACTAGCTAAAAATGGCACGCTAAATTCCAAATAATATTTAATACGCGTGTTACCGACCAAATAAAACAAAGTGCATCAGAATTGAATATTTTATTGATACAATTTGGTATGTAGAATAATGTTTCAATTTCCTATCTATCTATCTATCAATCTATCTATCTTCTGTCTAAACTAAATCTATAAGGGTCTGCAGCACAAAATAGTACTGGTTAGACCTCTTTTTCTCACAAAAATTTGACTGATAACATTGCCTCTTTTCAACATAATATTAAAGTGCATGCGCACGACTAAGCGCAGTGCAGCCAACTGTGTTTTTAATTATTTACATTTTATCAGCCAAAGGAAGATCGGGCTGCTTGAATAATTACAATGTGCATGTATAATATGTGCATCGTACATTCGTACGTCATATTATTATGAGGCGCGTTTCTATATAGAGGTTTAAACAAATTATTCTTTGCACGGGCAACACTGGACGAGACACCTAGTAGTACATAATATCTATGGAAGTAGTTCACTTTTTCGTATATTTATTATCTATGTATATTTTATACTTTATGTTGGAACTCTCGTACACACATGCGCAGTATTATAGTCCGATGTGCAGCCATTTTCAAGGGTCAAGAGTTATTCCTCTTTAAACAACATAACGACAATCCGTGTTATGATCTGCCGAATGTCGATCATTGTAACATGACCTACTGCTTCAATCAGCAATCGTGAAATTTCGTAAGTATTTCTGGTTTTTTGCCTACTTTGTGTAGATATGAATTATTGAAGCTTAATTTAATTCCAATTACATATACTCCGAGTTCCGACATAATTACTGTCATATAGTATGCGGTCTACCGGCCATTGTCTTCTGCTATAGAGTGTGGTCTACCTGCAGCCAGCCGATTTATACACGGACTCATGATCTCTGATAGATACGATACGGTCTAATCCCTTTTTTTTGGTTAACACAAGTTCTTTATGACAATATGACTTTCGATAACAATGCCTTGTCGCCTTGACATTTCGTTACAGTAAGGATTAAGGAATCGGGTCTCAAAGTGACTCAGACGTTTAGGACGTCACTTTTTGCACGACACTACAATTTATTCTACATATTATTTTGGCACTCGCACTCTCAACCACCAATTTTTTAATTAGTGAAAATGTTTTAGCAAACAATTGAAATGCCCAATGTACTAAGCGTGGAAGTGAGATGAATTTGTACATATGTTAGGAAAGAAAGAAGAGTTTTACAGTACGTTTTCTACTTTCTAAGAATTAAGAATTATTTTAGAATTAAGAATAATTGGGGTGGCATGAATTTTTTTTAATTTGAAAATCATTTTTCTTTAAATGTTTGGCATGCTTGGCAATATCTAGAAATGTCTTTATTTCTAAGACTCACAATTATATTAATGAATTGCTTGATTTAATGCATCAGAGTGTCTGGGCCGAAATCCAAACTGAATATTATGTATAATTTGGTGCTCGTGTTAGATAGGTCGAATTTGAAGGAGAATTACTTTTTCGAACTATTTTATATATAAATTAATGCGATATATTTTTATTGAAAAATAATTTTGATTAATGTATTAATTTATTTCAAGGTTTCCATAACAAAACAAACCATTCTGAAACGCTGGATAACTGCATTGGGTATATGTTGGAATATGTAGTTAATATAATTTATCAATCAATGCTATTATAATAACCAAATTTATATTCCTACTCAATCAAATACTATTGATATTTATTTAGACCAAACAGTTAATTATCCCTGTAAAATGAATACCAATACAAGAAATATTCAGAGGAGAAATAGTATTTCAATAAGAAAAAAGAAAACTGAAGTAGGATCAAAATTGTTTGTCAGGAAGAAAAATCAAACTAAAACTGAAATAGAACTAGCGGACAGAGATGACGTCATTACTGAAAAATGGCGAAAGAAGTTTAAAATAATGGATGAAATAAATAGAAAAATAGCTACAAATATTAAAATTTTGACTGCTAACAAACTAGCCTATGAAGATTTTAATATAAAATATTTACAACTTAAATCCAAAGTTCTTGACACAGAAGAGAAATTATTAAGGAATGGCATAGATACATCAGAATATCCAGCATTTTCTAATGAAGAAGTAGATTGGAGTTCAGAGTTTGGAACTGTTAGAAGCTCTAAATTTGAACGATTATTACTTTTGGAAATGAATGCAGAAAATACAACTCCTGTAACTACAATTACACAACACGAATATTAGACAAATTTAGTTTTACTCAAGAACACTTAATTAGTCAAACAATAAATGAAAATCACAATGATAAGTCAAACACCCCTTGAAAGTTATCATAAAGTATGTAATATATATACTATAATATACTTTATGTGGTATCTATTATAATATACCTACATCCTATAGTATAGGACCTATACCAAATTATCATTTTTAATTTTTGTTTAGTAATCTTCAATATAATTAATTACTATATATAATACTTAAGGTCACCCAAAAATTGCTTAAGGGCAGAAAAGAACCTGTAATGTGCCAAACCTGTGGAGGTTCTCTCAAGTCAAGCACCTGTTTGTCTACTGTTGAAACAATATAAAAACCAGAAAAAGCCTAGAAATGTCTGACAACCTCTTCGAAGCCCTTAGCCGAATCCAAGACAACACCTACAAAACCACATTTCTAAGACTTATTGATATATGTATACAACTTAATGTTAGGAAACCATTTATTATTTATATGTAACTAATATTTTTTATTTTTTTGATAAGCTAATAACCTAGTAGTCGATGTTGTACTATGGATAAAAAACAATAATAATACTTATTTTGTTAATTTATCATATTTTAAATTTATAATATGTAGGTGTGTACCTACTAATTTATTATTTTTTAATTTGAGTAAAAATCAGTACCTATAGTAATAATTATTGGCAATTATGTAATAAAATTGATGACAATGTTTTGTTATAAAGAGCAGTTTATTATATCATTTTTAAATAAAGCTTTATTTGTATAACTTATTTTTCGTGAACATAGATTTATATATATATTTACAAAATTGTTTTTACTTATTTTAGATACATTATAACTACTTTTTAAGAGGATCTTACACAGGCACTAAAGTTCTCCTTTTTATGTGGTGAAAATGTTGTTTCTTAGTTACTAATGTAGCTTTTTTGGTTCTTTCTTGCGCAAAAAAATATTTGTTGTTATACATTTGTGAAACGGAGACAACACTTGATGGTGTAACGTCCTCCTAATAATTAAATTTACCAATATTACTAGTTCATAATAAAAAAAAAAAAATTTCATCAGGCATTATTAATCAATAGTATATATTATCACAATGAGTAATAGCATTCAGTATAGGTTATAAATAATAAATACACTTTATTTTCTCAAAAGGTATTACCCGACATAGTAACAAATAATGAATATATAGAAAAAATATATGTAAATAAAAAATTATAATTATGATACATAACAATAATATTTCTAAACTTTTAATTTACTTTTTAATTACATTTGTTGTAAGACCAACACAAAATAAGTAAAATATGATCATAATAAGCTATCAACACATATTATAGGTAATAATTTGGTACATAACAATTATATAATTAAAACTGATAAAAAAAAAAGAAATCATAGTGCAATTATTAATAAATAATAATGTGACGAATAAATACAATAACAATGACTAAGGCTGGGGTATTCATAAGTTAAATATTGTATGAAAGAAGCTGTTTATCCAGTTGACTTGTAACTGAAATATTATTTTTCTATGCAAGTTAATTTATACAACAATTTAAAGTAAATAATATTTACTTAAAACTATGTATAGGTATTACTATACATTTTTTATTATTAAATATAAATATAACTCAATTTATTATCTGATCACAATTAGAATTTAATTTAAAATTTAGTTTTATAGTGTTTATAACTTATAAGTTATAATTGTAAATTATTTTAGTTAAAATTAATTATATTTTAACCATTTGAAGCTAACAATATCAACTATTCAACTTTACAAAAATAACTTGAAATTAACTAAAATTCAACTTGTCAAAATAATTAAGAAATATTTTAGTTTTCCAGCCTTAAGTAACTGTCAATAAAAATTGATAAAAAAAAAAAAACACTAATTATTTTTTCTTTACAAATAATTGTTTAAGTAGTAAAACAACACTATGTATAAGCAAGCATTTAATACATTTAGGAAAATTTAATAAGAATTAACTTACCCTTTATTATCATCATCATCCATATTGTTAAAACAATTAAAATAGAAAGGAAAAACTAAAGAAAACTTTGTCCTGTAAATTAAAAATCAATGATAATATAACTATTTTTTTTAAATTTGTTTCAGTAATATTATGATGCTAAATTTATTTATACATAATTTTAAAAATGAATCATTCCTCTTCCACTAATCAGAGTTAAGTGATTCAATGGTAGCGCATAACTGTTTTTTACATAATTAGGAAGTAAACCTTACTACCTCATTTGACCTTAAGTGTAGCGCTATGGCATTGAAACCAGTGAATGTGTAAACACTGATAATTAATTGACTTGACTATTAATTAGAGAATCTAACTAAGCTTAAACTTAGAGACAAAATAAGTATTGTATATCAACTTACCTAAATTATAAGAGGAAAAATTTAGATTTATCGCATAGACAATTTATATTTGTAGATGCATGGTTGGACATGGTTAGTCATGGTTGAATGACTAATTAGTAATAAGTAACTGTTACAAAACAGTGAACGATGAAAACTATATTATGAATAATTTTATTCAGTAGATTGGTCGTTGTACGTTGACCGATAAAGCCAAAAGTCCTCAAATACTAAATGAAAAAATTGTAAAATGACAGTCATCCTCACTTCACGCCACGACGGCCCGAGGAATCAGTGTCCCGTCGGCGATCCACGGCTAAATAGTAATTATGACTAATGAATAATGATTATCCACTGCTAAATATGACTATGTAATGATTATTGATTAATAATGAAATAACATAAAATATTGTTATCAAAATTAGATATTGATTAAAAAAAGCCACAGATTATCTAACACCGAAGCAATGGAAGGGATATCACTAACCACTAACGAACACAATGATTATTTTTAGCGGGAAAATCGTTATCAATTATTTTATTTTTGTTAAAATTTGAAGTAATCGTTTCACGTCTGTTCGTAGTGTTCAAAGTTTAAACATTTTTGTTCTCAAGTCAATAGGTACTGAAGACTTCATTTTTATACAAAGTTACAAAGTAAGGGAAATTTCATCATTCCCAAATTTCCACCTCGACTGAGTGAACTGTTATCTTCTGAAATCGTCCAAATGTACTCCAATACTAGTAACGATGAACTCGAACCTCGGTCGGCGCCCAAGCCCACACAGTTTCAAGTAAATATTTTTTTCTATGGAAACTATTACAAAGCACTTCCAACGCTAAAAGCAGTTTAGTGTATAGAAATTGTATTCTTTCCTTACTAAAATGTCGGTTTAATGTTTTTAGGAATTGTCAGCCAAACCTGAGGTTCCAGAATTATCAGTCGTGTTCGATTCGTCAGAAAATAATTCAAAGCCATTAAATAGGAACCCATTATATTATACAAACAGTCCAAATTCTCATGAAACGTATAGTGAATGGAAAAATCGTCAAAATCGATCACCTCCAGTACGTAAAGAAACCCGTTACTACGAACCACGCGACAAGCAATATTATGGATCTTCCTCATACAGCGATTGTGATCAAAATCCTTACAGTCGCTTTTCAGACAAAATTTCCTACAAATCTGGTAGTGATTATCACAAATGTGCCTGTCAGAACACACCTACAGTCAAAGATATTTACAACATGATGCAATTACAAAATGATCAAATGAAATTTCTTTTAGAAACCATACAAAAATTGTTAGTCACTGTATTATCTAATCAGCAAAACCAACATAAATGTTGTTGCTCTGAAAATGGTCATTGTAAAAAAGATAATGATTCTAAAACAACAGAAGTTACTCAGAAAGAATGTAATTCACAACATTCTACTAACGATAACAATACAGAAAAACCACAGACGAATTTAAAAAAAACTGAAACTGTACAGAAAAAAAACGAATTAAATAAAAATTTAAAATGCTCTAGTAAACCAGATGTCACACCTGTAACAAAAGAAAAACCAAAAAATCCAGTAAATACTAGATGCGAAAATAGTAATGATGAGAAAGATAATAAAAAAGAGAAGGAAAGGACTTACTCCATTATAAGGTACATAGAATATTATTTGTTTATAATAATAATAATATTTATTGTTACCAAATTACAATTAAATGTACGAAACATGTGATAAGCATAAATTAATTAATCTTTGGTTCTCTTTTCAAAAGCAAGGCTTGTGCAGAAAAGAGAGAGTTAGCGATATAAAGTCTTAAGTGATTAAGAAAATGAAAAATAAAACAAAAAAAGGTGGGCAAGTGGGTGTCGCTCTGCTGTACAGTAGGTTACAAGTGGGTCACTGTATAATGGATGATATTAAATTTGAATTCAACGATATAATATCATTGTATAAGAAAAACGATTCTGAGCGCAGACGGTATGTCAGTCTATGTATAAGACATATTATATACATATCTATGGTATTAAACAAAAAATTGACCTATAATGGGTACCTATAATAAATTCCAAATTAATCATATCAAAATATCCATTAGGTACTTATAACGCGTTATACATCAACAAAAACCGTGATACTATCATAGATATATAAAAGTACACTTTAGAAGTTTCAAGTATCCACGAATAATATTATTCAATCACAACAAAATAACTAAAATAGTTATTCTAGGTTTTTTAATATGAAATTTCGTCCAAATTTGAATTTAAAATGTCTGTAAAAAATAACTGTGTTCATATATTTTTTAGATTTTTTGGTTACAGTATGAACTATTTACGAGAACCTTTATGTTGAATTTGCAATCCTTAGCTATAAAAACTGAACATTTTATAATTTATTAATTACAATGATTGATAATTTTCGAGATTTTGATAAATTTTGTCAAAATTTGATCTTTAAATGCTTATAAAAAAAAACTGTGCCTATGTATTTTTAATATTTTTCAACTGATATTATAACAATATATCAGGAGCCTTGTATTAAATTTTTACACTTTTTGGCCCAACAGATAAAACTTTATTGATATTTATAGAAAAAAAAACTAAAAAAAATTGAAAGCTGTAAATGTCCATAAACAGCTCAAAAAGAGTCAAAATATTTTCAAAATTGTATGGTGTATAGAAAATGCTAATTTAAACATTCAGTGAAATTTTCATGTATCTACAGTTATTTGTTTTTGAATTACAACAAAATAAGGAAATCGCTACATGGGAAATCGAGTGAATATTCAATGTTGTAAAAATTTGAATTTCAAACGCTCATAAAAATTTAATTTGACTTTCTTATAAACATTTTTCTTTTGATAAAGGTAGACAAACTTATAAGGAATCTTGTGTTTAATTTTCAAATCTTAGATTTAAAAAGAAAAATTTTTACGAATTCTTAACTCAAAATAATTTGCTAATTTTCGTGATTTTCCCATATTTTGTCAATTTTTGAACTTTAAATGCTTATAAAAAAAAATTGTGACTAAGGATTTTTAATATTTTTCATCTGCCTTTGAAGCAATATATTAGGAGCCTTCTATTAAATTTTCAAGCTTTCGCAACCAACAAATAAAATTTTATTGATATTTTTAGAAAAAAAACTAAAAAAAAATGGAAAATGAAAATGTCCCTAAACAGTTCAAAATAAATCAAAATATTTTGAAAATGTTATCGTGTATAGAAAATGCAAATATAAACAACCAGTGAAAATTTCATGTATATACGTTCATTTGTTTCAGAGTTACACCAAAAACCAAAATCGATTTTTTGGAAAACCAATTTTGCGTAAAAATTCCCGTTTTTCCTTAATTTTTATGTTGTTTTTCCCGGCGCTTGTGAAAACTACTAGGAAATTTATACTTTTGACCCCCCAAAGTACCAACTAGATTCACTTTCCTATCAGAAAAGCTACTGATGAAGAAAATCCAAGCACTTTTACTGTCCTAAAACGTGATGACAGACACAAAAATAAAAAAATAAAAAAAAAAATAAAAAAACACACATCATTGTAAAATCAATACATTCATCGTTTCACTCAGAATCTAAAAGAGAAATAATAATAACAATATAACAATATATATAAGAATAACAACTAATTAAAAACATATTAATAGCGGAAGCACAGATTTATATCCTGTTAATGTATAATACTTTTTAAGAGAACCACTTTTACTTAAATACTTGGTATTTATTGGTTTTGAATTAAGTACTTCAATGTTTGGTATTTGAGTACAGTGGCGTAGCCAGGGGGTTTTATTTCACAATAGTTTAAAAATATCCAAAACATGCAATAATGTCCTCTGTCCATCATATTATATTGATACCTACCTATATTCAAATTAGTAAACCCGTCTATAAATTATTTTTATCATGTTTATATATATCTACTTAGTTTTTAGTTTTTGATTTTTGAAATTGCTATATGTTTTATGTATTTTTCAAAAATAAATAATTATGTAAAAATTTAGCTGCATATATTTTGACAATTTTGACTGCATATTTCGTTAATGTTTAGTGGAGCAAGTCCCGAACCCTAAATTTATTTATATGCGAAAATTATAAAAACTAGGTTTCAATTTATACTTGAACAACCCACATTTCATATTCCTGGCTACGGCACTGTTTTAGTATAAACTATTCCAGTAGATAAAGTATATTTTGGATAAATATAAATGTTTTGTAAATTATTGTTATAGGCTTGGGTTGGCTCATTTAAAATAGTTTATTAATTATTATGTATATATTTTATTTAATATAATTAATATAAAACAAAGGGTCTCCAAATTATGGCCTGTATTTAGACCCACAAAGAACTTTTCATTTTTTTATATGGCTCTTGAAAAAAGTTTGGAGATCCGTTGATCTAGAATATAATATAGATAAATTGCCAACTATGCTTTTGTGGTAGTTGGTAATATAACAAAAGTGATACCAGGACTATAAAGAATGTTTCGCAAATCATGATTCTTGGCTCATCATACAGCTTTATAAAGCCCTCCAAAAAATGCTTTTTCCACTATTGTATTACCTACTACATTTACTTTATTTGAAGATCTATGTATTATATGTGTATTTTTTTCCAGTGATGAATCATTTGATTTAAATGCAAATGATGTTCAAGTAATTGAGGATCCAATATCTCCTGAACAATCTATTCACATTGATATGAAATCATCGTCTGAGGATAGTGAAAATAGGTAATGTTTGTATAATAAATAATAATTTTAAATTAATTCTTTTATTTTAACTATAGTGAATGCGAAGAAGAAAATGATAAGAAAATTGAAGTTGGGTGGACAATGTATAAAAATATTATTGTAAGTTGCAGATATTACTAAATTTTTCTAAATCTAATAATAATAATTTAGTTTACGGTTCTTGCGCTCATAGTTAATATTGTTTATTTTTTTTTTTATAAAAGGGACAAGTAAATAACCTTCTTGAAGATAATACGAGTGGACGGAAATCTGATGTAGCTGAACCAGTAGAACGTGTTAAACATATAGCAACAACTACACCAAAGTATATTATACATTACTCCTCAGAGGTTTCATTTGATTTGACTGATGACATTTGTAAGGCTTTAGATAATTCTAATGATTTTATTTTTGCCCTTTAGGAATTTTGAACCGTACAAACATTTTATGTTACCAGAAAATAGTAAAATAGATTCCAGCTTACAGATGCAAGCACTTGCCATGCAATACCTATCACCTGAACAAGCGGTAAAATGTAAGTAAAGGTCACTGTCTCTCCTCATAAGTCATAATGAGTACGTTTATTAAAAATAAACAACAATTTTAATAATTGAAATAAATAATTTTAATAATTGAAATAAATAACAATTCACATTATCAAATAGTGTCAGTATAACAGATAAATTATTAACAATAATATAAGTTTACTGCATCTAAATGAAATGTAAAACTATGTAAATGGTATTGACTATTCATTCTCTCACTATATACCTTGTATCTTCTCTTCTCTTGTTTATACTCATTTGAAACCTAAAAAATAAAATGAATATAAAATTTGTTATTTTATTACCTTAACTTTTACTACATTACAGCATGACAATTTAAAAAATCAATTTTTTGAACATGCAAAACATGAAGTTTATGTATACACAAAAACATATTAGGTTTTCCTTTAATTGTATATAGTGTATGTTATTCAATTATATTAAAAGGGCGCTACACCCGCATGCATTGTACATTCTAAATAATCTATTCAACTCCGTTATGATAACTATGATTGAGGGAATTGATCTATTATCAAGTTTAGAAGTGAGAATGTTAGGTATCTATTTTAAATTTAAAGCAAGTTATGAATATTTTAAAATGCACTAACAATTTACAATTTTAGAAAATATTGTATATGTCATGCTTTAATTAAAATTAAAATATAAAAAAAAAACCTGAGGTTCACTAGATAATATTCTCACTAAACTTGATAACAGGTCAATTCGCTCAAATATTAATCATAACAGAGTTATATAGATTATTCAGAACATACAATTTGCTATGTTTAGCATATGTAAGACAGAAAACACATGCAAGTGTAGCGCCCTCTTATTATATTGATTTATTCTTTTTTCAGTTGATATGAATAAACATTTTGTGCCAACAACACAACCTACCACAAAATCTCCAAATAACTATTCTATTTCAACCCTACATTATATGGAACGATATCATCTGATTGCACCTGAAAAAACCTATACTTCAGGTATCTATCTATATTAAATTAAGTATAATACGTGTATCATATTCAAATTTAGGTATTTATTTTATGAAAAAAAAAACAATATAATAAACAAAGAAGTCAGCACTCTTGGGGTATTATTTATTGTAGTATGGTAAATAAAACATAAAATAACGCAACACAGAAGCAGTAATAAATTTTCAACCCTCATTCCAAATAGTATTTTTTTTTTAAATCTCAGTACATTTACTTATTGTTAAATTTAAAGACAATATAATATTATGTTTTCTCTTTGTTTTATTCAATATTTTAATATTAAAAGCAAATAATAAATATTTTTAATTGGTATATTTTATCTACTTATTCAAATTTTAAATATCAAACAAAACTTACTAGAGACCCAGGATTATTGTTTTGTTTTTAAATTTGATAATAAATAAATTTAGATTTACATAAAGTTGTATGTAATATGGATAGAGACAACAAATATTGGACGTATCCTCTTATGTAATACAAGTAAAATATATTATAAATAAATAATATTATAACCCAGAGTTAATTAAGCAATATTTAATAAAGTTTAGTTAGATAGAATACTGGACACTAGCAATGTATTAATGAATAACTGCAATACAACTGCTAAGGAAAAATGTCAATAACAGACTTCTTAAGGGGATTCGATACCGTGATTTTCTGTTTTTGTCTAACACACCTGCATAGGATTTTAGACTGGTTCTTTGCCAATCATACCAATTGATCTAATGAAGTGATAAGAATTCTAAAAACAGATTTTAATTTGTCGTCAAGTCTACTTGAAATCGACTTTCCCACATTTTTGATTTTTTGATTTTAAATTCTCCAAAAATTAAAATACGACAATTTTTAAATACTTTTTTTTAATATGACATTTATAGAAATTTGTGGAATAATATCAAACATGTGGGAAAGTCGATTTCAAGTAGGCTTGACAACAAATTCAAATCTGTTTTCAGAATTCTTATCGCTTCAATAGATCAATTGGAATGTTTGGCAAAAAACACATCTAAAATACTATAACGCTCATGTGTTAGACAAAAACAGAAAATCCCGGTATCGAATCCCCTTAATATCTAGTATAAATAATCGATTTATTTCTAAATAATGATCAGCAATCTAATTTATACCAATAAAATCTAATAAGACATAATCAAAACAATATATACCAATTATTTGACTGTAGTTGTTATTCAAACAAATAATGATTAAAACCAATTATTTCTATAAGATAAACAAAATATTTACTATAAGTGGCATGTATATTTAAGAATAACATGTTAAATATGTAAAAACTACGGGTAATATTAAATATTCTGTGATGATTTAACTTTAATTACTTGTTCACCATCATTGCCTTCATTGTACTATGTTCTAATTAAATCATTTTTAAACAAACATACAAATACAAACAAATAGACAACTATACCATAAGTCACTAGAAGTTAAATTCCACATCCTTTCTTTTCAAAAATATAATTTAATTGATGATTAATAACCAACATAAATACCTAATACTTTAACATATTGTTGTCTGCCACATGTTCGCCAACAACCCAAGTTTTGTCTTTTATTGTTTTGCCATTTAAGTCGCACACTGCCCATAGACGCAATTTAGGGCTGCCCCTAAGTTTTTAAATATATTCATTCTTAAACCAACCTAATAAAAAAATTATGGTCTGTATTGGTTTTATAAATTTAGCCCCCCCAAATCAGTTATTCAAATTGTGCCTATGCCACTGCTAAATTTAACATCAATATTAAATGCATCTAATTCTTCAAGGCTTGGAGACAACAATATTTAATATGAACAATAGTATTTGATCTTTTTTAAGAAAAAAAAACCCAATAAAATCTGAAACGTGTAAAATATCCGAAAATATCTTGTCTGAACAGTATTTTAGCCAAAAAATTTATACTTTGTGTGGCCTTACACACACTGAACTGACTTGGGTTGCCGGCTGACATGTGACAGTCAATGTGGAAACTTTTTCCCAACTACGTATTACCTAATTATTACGTATAGTTTATTATAATAAATAAGTTTTATGGTTCTAAATAAGTATAAAAATCAAAAATCGCTAAATTTGGAATACATAGTACAACAAACAAAAATGCAACCAATTTATTTTCTTTCAATAATAGGATACATAAATATTGCATGGATTAAACGGGTACATTGTTTAATTGTGGAGAAGTGGTACAATAGTGCGGTTTCCAAGCAACTCTATAACATAGCTTAACCTTGCATTCTAATATCGATGTACTTAAGTTATTGCTAGTTAATATTTTATTTATTCTTTTAGAAAACTCTCATCAAAAATTGCCAACCGAAGGATTATTGAACAAAAAGAAAAAATCATTGCGTAAAAATAAAACCCCTTCAAAAATACTTAATATCACTGAACTTAAGCAGCAACCAAAATTATCATAACATTTTATCATTATTTTTTTTTTATATTAATTTTATTGTTCTATAACATTAGTGTTTTAAAGTTAAAATAAATTATATATGTATTCATTTTTTTTATTATTATTATTATTTTTGCAATGCTCAATGATAAATATTAATAGATTTTGAGCCTATTTCATGAGTAAATTTATCTTTTTTATTTTTAATATACATATATATATATGATTATTTTATAATTTATCAACCTCTGGATTTGAAAACGCTATTGTATTTTTTTTTAAACTGATAATATAATATATTTATATATAAAAGAAAATTTATTTCAAAACGTGTCCTATAACTCACTTCTTAAGTTTAGATGTTAAAACTTTCACCACATCCACAAGTTCCTTTAATGTTTGGATTATAAAACACAAATTCTGAAGACAATTTGGATTGAACAAAGTCCATTTCAGTTCCAAGTAACGTCAACTGAGCTTTTCTATCAATAAATACACGGATCCCTAAAATAAAAAAAATTATTCATGATAGATATTATGTACATAGGTATGTTAAGTTTATAAATAGATCAGGCTATGACCATTATATAAGCAATATACTTCAGTGAATAGGGTACATTTTCCTAAATCTTTATCATTGAAAAATATTTAAGCATATTATTACAATATATTAATTGAATTATTTACCATCTTGTACAACTTCTTCATCTAATTTATGTTTTTCACTGGCATAGTCTAGAGTATAACTTAAACCATTGCATCCCCGTTGTTTAACGCCGATTTTAAGACCGATCTAAAAATTTTAATAACTTGAAAATAGGAAAAATAATAATAAACATAAACTATAAATGCTTGACTAACACAATTTGATTTTCCAGACAGTATTTTTTTCAGTTGATCAACGGCTGATGGTGTCTGTAAAAACACATAATACATTATATTTTAGTTTGAAACAATATAAAAAAAAAATAGTATTAATTTTATTGATCTCATACTGACCAAGGTGAGAGCAGCCTTAATAGGTTTCCTGCTTCCAGCTACTGCCCTTATGGAGGCTGAGACTATACGTCCGGCCATGTTATCTTATTATATGATCTATAAATTCATTTTAAAATTATTATTTGTCGACGCATTGGCATCAGTTTGCACAATATATCACTGCGGAGGTACAAAAATAACATTCATTTCGTAAATTATTTATCTATTGTCGTCTACAACACGAATGTTACAAACACAGATATATACAATAACTAGATAGCTAACTATCGTAACAGTCGGAAGTCAACCGCCATATGCGTGGTAGTCAATGTTTACATTAATTATTGTTATCATTTCTTATCACTATGAAATACAATATATTAAATTAAGGGCCGTTCTTACAATGTCCGGTAAAGTGTCGGTTAACGCTAACCGACTGATAACAGATTTTATTACCGGCAGAATTCTTCCGGTTAAGTGTCGGTTAACTTTAACCGGACGTCGTAAGAACGGCCCTAAATTGTTATTACTTATTACTAATAATAATTAATAAGTAATTTATTTAAATATAAAATAAAATTGTTAAGTACGTATAAGTATAAGTAGTATAACAAATATATAACTATATAATATATAATATTATATAAATGTATGAACCACGGAAAAGAGATTAAACAAGTATAACCAGGTAAAAACTATAAGTGGGTACTCGACCAATATAATACATTTTCACAATTAAGTGTCTTAAATATATTACGATCAAGCACAAATTTATTATTGACAAGTGCGATTATTTTATTTTCTAAATTTGGTATATTTATGTTTTTCAAGTTATCAGTTAGAAGCAAAAAGAAATGTTCTGCGGCATATTTAATTAAGTACTTAAAAATCACATAAAACAATTTTTTTTATGAAAAATAAAAATTATATTAGCAATAATTGACTGTACATAATACAAAGATGTATGCAATAAATTATTGATATAATATCTGTACAATAATATGATGATAAATTCGAATTGATAAAGTGATAACAAACAAAAACATTGACTACCACGCATATGGCGTTCGGCTTCTTAATCATAGTGCGTCAGATATAATCAGTTAGCTATCTAGTTATTGTATATATCTGTGGTTACAAATTCACAACATTGTGAAATAAATAATGATATTGTGTTATCGCTTATCACGTCTTTGTAGGACATAAATTGTTATCAGTTATATTTAACAGTGATGAAAACTAGACGTTAATAATTGTACAACGTTGATAATCCGTGAACGATGGAAATTATAAAACAACAATGGGTGATCGTTACTCGTTAGGAGACTATATTATACATAAAATAGGTACGTAATAATTAATAAACTAATAACAAATACTATATTATACGACAATACGGGACATCTATGGTCCATAGAGTAATTAGTCATTAGAGGTATTTACTATTTAGTATTACGGTTTTTGACCAGAAATATAATAGGCCATAGCCCCCCTGGCACCAGTATAAATATTCAATATTCATCTCGCTACGATTATGATGGGTAGGTACATTGAAAAGAACACTATTTATTTGAGAACAATATTAGTAAAAACAATTTAAAAACATGAACTAGACTATTTAGTAGGTAGGTATGTGATATATTTATGAAAAAAAGATAAAGACTAGGTAGGTACAAGGTACTTATAAATTATAATATTTGAAATTATATCTATTATATAAAAATAAGTCCGGTTTTCCTCCCTGACGCTATAACTCGAGAACGCACGAACCGATTTCCACGGTTTTGCATTCGTTGGAAAGGTCTTGGGCTCCGTGAGGTTTATAGCAAAGAAAATTCTGGAAAATTCAGGAAAAATTCAACAGAAAAGTGGGGAAATCGTTTTTCACATACAGCGCCATCTATTATACATAGCATGTACTTCAAACCAATAGCAACGGTGCGTGATAAAGTGTTTGACAGATAGTCATCCAAATAACCGATGAAATCTACAATGAAGGATTGATTCTGATTGAGGATCAATGCTTGACTATTGCAAACAAGCTACTGATTGAAGTAGGAATGATTGCGCCAAATCGATCGATGCACGATGCATTCAACCAAGAATTAAATCGAGAGCTGCAATACAATGTTGATACATTGCAGGAATTCGTTAGAAATAATGTTCCGTTGCTGAATGAACAGCAAAAACAAGTATACAAAACATTAATGCAAGCGGTGGACAATAATACTGGTGGTCTATTCTTCCTGGATGCACCTGGAGGAACAGGGAAAACATTTGTCATTTCATTGATTTTGGCCACTATTCGATCAAGATGTGACATAGCTTTGGCGTTAGCATCATCTGGAATTGCGGCGACTCTTCTAGATGGCGGTCGTACTGCACATTCTGCGCTTAAGTTGCCACTCAATTTAAACACAATTGATACTCCAACGTGCAATATTTCCCGATCCAGTGCAATGGGAAAATTGTTAATGCAATGCAAGCTCATTGTTTGGGATGAGTGCACAATGGCACATAAGAAATCACTTGAAGCACTTAACTTCACACTGAAGGATCTTCGGAGAAATAACAACATCTTTGGCGGCTTGATGATATATTTTTATATAATAGATAATCATATTAAATTCAAATTTCGTCAAAACCACAATTTGTAGTTCAAATTTCTCTTATTTCCCTAGAGTCACCAAGTTTCTCGATAAGCTTACCTATCGTCTTCACCTGGTGATACATTTTATAGGTATATCTACCTACATAACCGTGGGGTGTCGGGGCTGGGGTAATAACAAGCAACTAACAAGTTTATACCTTCAAATGTCTAAAACATACTTATTGTGCTTATATATTTTTTAAATTATTTTACTTAACTCTTTATGAAGAACCTTGTTCTAAATGTTCAAGACTTAGCTATAAAGTTTAATACAATTTTAACTACAGAATAATAATGAATTTTAAAATTTCCTTGATATTGACGAATTTTAATTAATAATAAGTTTGTATCGCCACAAAAAATCATTAAATTCATTAAACGTTTTCAAATCATTTTTAAGCTATTCGCGATTGAAAGCGGAACAGGCGCTACCTTGTGGAAGTCATCAGAACTATTACAACGGGGAAGATGTGTATAGTACATGTACTGGTCTACAGTACCACACACGAAATACGAATTAATAAATAATTTATTGTAATTTATTGTAATATTATATGAATATTATATTATTAGTTGTATGATGTATGATCATAATTATCACCTTAATAGTAGTCCAAAAATACTAATTAATAATACCCATAAGGCTTGTTCTATTCCACAGTGTTAACCACAGTTCCACAGGTAGGAAATTAATACAATTAATTACATTTATTTTGTTGTAATTAAAAAAAAAAAAAAAACCAAAAACTGTATATACATAAAAATTTAACTGAATGTTTATATTTTCATTTTCTATACACTGTATATTTTTTTATTTTTAAAACTATTTTATTAAGAGTTGTACAAAGGAAGTTAGCTACTCTAGTCACAATTAAATTATGGAGTACACAAATCGCCTGAGTTATTTTTGCAGTTTTTTCAGTTCTGTTTAGCATTTTATTTTCTAATACGTTAAACCTTTTTACCATAATTCCAAATGCACATGCGAATATTTTTCTCACACGGGATTGTCGATAGTTGTATATACCATAAACGTTTTTCGTTTGTTAAATTTCTACGAGGGAAATGTCTCATCAAAGTAGGTAAAAGTAGGTAAGCCTCATCGTCAACAAATACAAAAGGGAAATCTTCATTAATATTTTGATCAATTTTTTTTGGGTGCTGGGCGCTGGCAAATCTAATTTATTTTGAATTAATTGTCTACCAAATAAGGATTCTTTGAAAATCCCATTATCACTAGACCGACCATAATCTCCAACTTCTATTACAATAAACTTAGCGTGAGCGTCAACTACTGCTTGCAGTAGAAACTAGAAAGTAGACAAAGTAAACTAAGTAGAAAGTAGAAAGTAGTAAGTAGACTAAACAGCACGGGCCTCGGCCACCGGGTGACCATGTTCCCCGTTAGCCTTATCATTAGTATCGACTAGTGCGCTACCTATATTTCCTTTCAATCGCGAATAGTGGTTTTACAATAATATGGTGTTTATTATACTTTTATTTTTTTTATCTTGTATACAAAATTTCTACCAGAAGGAAGGCTTAGATTTCAACATATAGTATCTTATATTTTAGAGTTTTAGACAATTAGATCAAGATGATACTTTAGAGAGGTCATTTTTCAATTTTCTCAATAATTGTTTAATGCTCGGGAAAAACCACCAACAAATTACAAAATACCGCTAAAAATGGGATTTTAATTTCTAACACTTTGGTTTATCGCCATAAAAACGAATAAAAAGTAATAATATTACTTAATTAATTCAATTTACAGGCTATAATGAATAAAAATATGACGACTGACAAACCGTCTCCTCTCAAAATCGTTTTTCTTATACAATGATATTACCTATATCATTGAATTAAAATTTAATACAATCCTTATACAATGACCCATTTGACATTTGTAGCCTACTGTACAGCAGAGTGACATACACTTACCCGCTGGCCGCTTTTTAAAAAATGGTCTTAAAAGTAAAATTTAAATTTCCAAAAATTAGAATTTGAATAAATTTATTATTAAAGGGAAAAGTAGGAGTTCGTAGAATAATATACGCATATAATGGTGAATCATCAAAAGTGTGCGAATTTCAATGCAAATTGCATTTTTTTCTGAATGTCATAAAACAATGCATTCCGAGCACAAAATTCGTTTCATATACAGTACCTATGTCCCAAAAGTCCCGTATCACCCTTATGTTTTTGAATAATTGTAGTAAAAAAATAAATTAGGAATGTAAAAGTATTATCGTGTGCTGAAATTAGATATTTCATTATTGAAATGTGAAACAATAATTTATTTTTTTACTACAATTATTCAAAAACATAACTTGCTCTAACTTGGTCAATTTTTATTTAATTTTAGTATTTTTTTTTTTAAAACTGTTTTAAAAAATATGCTCAACAAAATGGCTATCTTAAAAATTTTAAATTCTTAAATGCATTAAAA